ACTGAAGGCGAAGACTTGGAAAAGTTCATGTACTGGGCCTTACCCTATTTTCTGGTGCTGGGAGTTTTGAGCTACCATATGGGCTAACTTACAGGAGAAGGAGAGACCACAGAGACAGAGCCCACTCATCTCAGCTGGGACCCAAACATGTAAATGAGGCCGGTCCACTAGACCACTCAGCTCCTGCTGAACCGACCCAGTCAACCCACTGAACAGATAAATAACAAATATTTGCTATTTTAATCCACAAAGTTTGGGTAGGTTTTTTATGTAGCAAAAGCTACCCTGTTTCCCCGAAAATAAGACAATGTCTTATATTCATTTTTACTCCCAAAAATGCGCTAGGTCTTATTTTCAGGGGATGTCTTATTTTTCCATGAATAAGAATACGGTACACACTTATTGTTAAATGAAAATAAATGAAATTTATTACCTGTATACGGTACAGCAGTACGGTAGTTGTCAACACAAACCAGACAAACTGTGAAACCTACAGTATCAAGAATTTACTCATTTATTCAATGACAATCATGTCATCATTTTCTGGAACATGATCATAACAATCCAATTCCTGAATTTCCTGGTGAATTTCTCGTGACTCCATTACTTTCAGAATCAGTGGACCAAATCTCTCATGTTTAGCAATAGCATTCTGAGACAGAGCCTAGGGGGGCCTTATTTTCGGGGGGATGCCTTATATTTCACTCAGAAGAAAACCTGTCAGTAGGTCTTATTTTCGGAAGATGTTTTATTTTCGGGGAAACACGGTAGTACCATCCTAAGAGGTAACCATTATTAGCAGTTTGGTGTGTATCCTTCCAGATCTTTCTCCTGTGGACCATGATTATTTCCTGGAACAATTTCCTAGAATTAGACTTCCTGGGTCAAATAGAGTGTACACATATCTGTTGATTTATATTGGCCAAAAAAGCATCAATTTGTAAGCCACCAGCAATATATGAAAGTGACATATTCCTCATCTTTGTCAACACTGAATGTGGATGTTTCTTATCTTCATGGCTACATTATCCTTGTAAATTTAACACATAACCCATTGTACATTCCCCCTCAATTTAAAATCAATGTAGAGCCGAAACAGGTTTGGCTCAATGGCTAGAGCGTTGGCCTGCGGACTGAAAGGTCCCAGGTTCGATTCCGGTCAAAGGCATGTACCTTGGTTGTGGGCACATCCCCAGTAGGGGATGTGCAAGAGGCAGCTGATCGATGATTCTCTCTCATCAATGTTTCTAACTCTCTATCCCTCTCTCTGTAAAAAAAAATAAATAAAAAATAAAAAAAAATCAATGTAGAGAAAATATTACTTCTGTAGGAAAGAACAGAAAAGAGATAGAATAATAGAATGAGAGAATAAAGCAGGATCAAAGATTATAAATACAGAGGAAAGAAAGTAGAATTGTAGAATAAAGCAACCTCCAAGTCTTTTATACACAGGATACTTAACATGTAGTCAGGAATAATTATGCGCCTACTAAATGATTTGGGTCATGAAAGAGGCATGGAAAGGAACTGTCCATTTAGGCCAAGCCCAGTGAAACTGAGAACACTATAAAAGTAGGTACAGGGCCGAAACCGGTTTGGCTCAGTGGATAGAGCGCCAGCCTGCAGAGTGAAAGGTCCCAGGTTCGCCGGTCAAGGGCATGTACCTTGGTTGCGGGCACATACCCAGTACAGGGTGTGCAGGAGGCAGCTGATCGATGTTTCTCTCTCATCGATGTCTCTGTCTATCTGTCTCTCTTCCTCTCTGAAAAAATCAATAAAAAATATTTTAAATAAATAAATAAATAAATAAATAAATAAATGTAGGTACAGGGTCTTCCTTGTGTGGCTGCATTTCTCGGATCCACTCTCTGAGATACGGATGCCTGTTCCCATTTTACAGATGAAGAAAATGAAGGGTCGGAGCTTTCAAGTCACTTGATAAAGATCATACAGCTGATAAAGAATTGAACCCAGCCGAAACCGGTTTGGCTCAATGGATAGAGCGTCGGCTTGGGGACTGGAGGACCCGGGTTCGATTCCGGTCAAGGGCATGTACCTTGGTTGCGGGCATATCCCCAGTAGGGGGTGTGCAAGAGGCAGCTGGTCGATGACTCTCTCTCATCGATGTTTCTAACTCTCTATCTCTCTCCCTTCCTCTCTGTACAAAATCAAATAAAATATATTAAAAAAAAAAAAAAAAGAATTGAACCCAGATTTGAGTCCACGTCTATCTACCTTGAAAATAGATGTGTGTCTCCTAACTCTTCCAGAGAGGATATGGCAGAAGACAAGCAACTACTTAGGAGGAAGTATATCCTTGAGCCAGACCACTTGGGTTTGAATCCCAGCTCTGCTACTAATTGTGTGACTCAGCCTCTCTATGCCTCAGTTTTCTTCATGGCTTTGTAAGTGCCATGAGGATAAATGAGTGCATAGGTGTAAAGCACCTAGAACACTGGCAGGCACATATAATAGGAAAGTGCTGTATACACTTGCTCTTTCCAGTATGGCATTGCAGCAGCCGTGGGACTGTTTCTTATGAGCGTGTTGCCAGGAAGTCCTTACGTAGCAGCTTTGTTTACACTCACATGGCCATGTCTCTGTGGAATTTCCCGTGGGGCAAGACCAACCCTGCTGCCATGTTTCTCTGCATCCAGGCTTGGGGGGAGGGGAGAAGGAAGTGCTGTGGTGCCACACGTCATCAGAAAGCATATGAACCACTCCAGGCTCTTGTCCTAAGTGGCCATCCCAAGTCCTTGCTGCTGCAGACCCCAGTGTTCTGGGTATGAAAGCTCCTTGCTCAGGGAACCAGCCTAACCTAGAACCCATCTGCCTTCTCTAATGTCTGTAAAACAGAACAGGCTTTCTCCAGCCTTTCAATGTTCATTTCTACCTATATAGGATTTTAATTACCACCACAACAACACTAACAGCCCGCAACACACTGAGTGTTCGTATGTGTCAGGCACTGCCCTAAGCACTTACAAGTATTGTTTCATTTGATTCTCACAACAATCCTTTGGAAAAGGTACTATTCTTCTTTTTTTTTTTTAAATATATTTTTATTGATTTTACACAGAGAAGAATTGAGAGGGATAGAGAGTTAGAAACGTCGATGAGAGAGAAACATCCACCAGCTGCATCTTGCACCCCCCCTCACTGGGGATGTGCCCGCAACCAAGATACGTGCCCTTGACCGGAATCGATCCTGGGACCTTTTAGTCCGCAGGCCGACGCTCTATCCACTGAGCCAAACCGGTTTTGGCTGGAAAAGGTACTATTCTTATTTCAATGTTATAAGTGAAGAAATTCAGTCTGAATCCAGAATCTTTTTTTTTAAAACATATTTTTATTGATCTTTTACAGAGAGGAAGGGAAGATAGAGAGCTAGAAACATCTATCAGCTGCCTCCTGCATACCTCCTACTGGGGATGTGCCTGTAACCAAGGTACATGCCCTTGACTGGAGTCGGACCTGGGACCTTTCAGTCCACAGGCTGACACTCTATCCACTGAGCCAAACCGGTTTTGGCTGAATCCAGAATCTTTCATCTTAACTATGACACCGTACTGTCTCCTGTTTGAGAACACGTCGTTATGGGGTGGAAAGTGCCAAAGAAAACAATCCAGCATTTCTCAGCCTGATTCATTCGGCACCCACCTTTTCTCAGCCACGAGCTGAGAACCGTTTGCAGCAAGACGCTTGAGAGCCGGATTATGGATTTGCCACTTCTCAGGTCAGACTCACGTCCTGTGTGGGGGAGGAAGTGGAGGGTGAGGCACTTAGATCACACACACACACACACACACACACACACACACACACACACACAACTGTGGTAAAAGAAAATATGAGGCACTCTGCAGGGTAGCAGACTGCAACATCTCCGGGCCTGATAAAGGAATGACAATATGGAAGGAAGGCAGATGGCAGATGCATAGATGCCACACTATTGCCTTCCAGTTAAGTAGTGCTTGGGTTGTGTGTGCTTTCCTCCCCTCCCCCTCTCTTCTTGTAAATCTCCCAAATAAAACGATTTGCTTTCCTCAAGTTGGAAGTGTTAACACATCTTTGCTTTAAATATCTGCGGATGGCTGTTTTTTTTTTTTTCCTCTGCCAATTTGTCACCATCTGTAACCCTCTCTGTGTGAGAGGATCCGATGACAACAGTGATCGTGGAGAGTAAAAGTGCAGTCGTGGAGCAACGTGTACGGGGTGGGCCCTGCGTGTGTGTGTCTCAGTGTGTGGCGTGTGTTGTGCTGGGAGCCCTGCGCGTGTGCACACTGTGTGTGAGTGGGCAGTGTGAACCTTCGGGGAGCATCCTGTGTGTGTCCAGGCTGGGTGCTGGCCTGTGCACATGGGATCTGCGTGCTCTCTGAGAACATCATGCGGACGCCCTGTATGTGGGTCAGCGCCCGCGTGCTGCTCTGCAGGCTGCTCTGCGGGCTGCTCTGCGGGCTGAGGAGCTGCTGTGCGCGCTCCGGGGGGAAGATGCTCCTCCATGGACTATAAATTCTCAAAGGTGTTTACAGGGGATGATGGGGAGGGCCTGCCGTTTGGGTAATTAGCTGGGCCGGGAAAGATCCGCAGCGTTTGGGCCTGAGTCACAGGAACCTACCTTGCGGGAGGCTTGGGAAAGGATGCTGCGGGGGATGGGGGAGGGAGGGCTGACCCCCAGAGCTGCGGCTTCCCTGCGGCTCCGGAGGGCGGCGGGTTCCCAGCGCATCGGGGTGGCCGCGGTCGGTCCCGGAGCCGGAGGTCTGGGTGGCCGCCCCTCCCCTCCCCTGCGTTCCCGGCCCCGGGCGGGCGCAGCGCCGCGGGAGGCGGGGGAGCCCCCCACCCCGGCAGGCGGGCAGGCGGGGGCGGCGGCGGCCCAGGGAAGGGCTTTGGCAGCCGCTACGATGGCGCGCGGCGGCGGGGCCTGGCCGGGGTCTGAGGCCGCGGCCTGGGCGAGGGCCAGCCGCCGGGCGCCCTAAGGTGCCGCCCGCGGGGACTCCACCATGAACATCGCGCTGCAGGAGCTGGGCGGCGGCGGTAATGTGCGTGGGGCTCCGGGCTGCAGGGCAGAGCCCCCCATCCCCTCCCCAGGAGAGGGAGGGAGGCTGACGGACCGGCAGCCTCGGGCAGGGGCTGGGGGTTGGAGGAGCAGGGGTCGGAGGGACCCCAGGTCACAGGTCCCGGGCGGGGAAGGGGCCTCGCTGCGGACGGGAGGCGCTGGCCTGGGGAGAGGCGCGGGGGCTGGGGCTAGGGCTGGGCCGCGGGCCATCAGCCGGATCCGCCTGACCTGGGGGGCGCCCCGGCCTGTGGCAGATGGTGGAGTACCGACGGGCCACGCTGCGGGAAGAGGACGCGCCCGAGACCCCCGTGGAGGGCGGAGCCTCCCTGGACTCAGTGGAGGTGAGCTAGGGGCTCTCCCGTCCTCCCCAGGCCCAGCCCTGGCATGAAGCCTGGCATACCCAGCGGCTTTGGGCTGCCCTGCACCTGCCCCCACCCACCTCGGCTCAGACTCTGGCCGCTGCTGCGCGAGGACGATGGCGAGGCGATTCTCAGCCATGACGTTGCACAAAACAGGCTCAAGCCTCAGCTCAGCCTGCCTCATTGCCTCGGTGCCCGGAGTTAGCTAACCCCATGGCTCTGACAACTGCCTGTGCCTTCGCCCTCTGGGAAGATTTCTGTGATCTTGGACCCCCATCCCCACCCCCTCGCCCCACCTGCAGCCGGCTAGCTGTGTCACCTTGTGTTCCCCAGGTGGGATTCCAGAAGAGGACGGGACACCTCTTAGGCTTGCACACCCAGCTGGAGCTGGTCTTGGCAGGGGTCTCGCTACTGCTGGCTGCGCTGCTTGTGGGCTGCTTTGTGGCCCTGGGGGTCCAGTACTACCGAGGTAGGTGGGCTCACCCCTGTCCGCAGCACCCCCCTCTGTGGGGACTCTGCAGGCTGGAGGGCCTCTGAGATAGTCTCCAGGCGGAGCCACCTTCCCCAGCTTTTCTCTCTCCTCCCAACCTTCCTGCCGTCAAGTCAAGTCACGGGCCCCCTCAAAGCGTTTGCCTTTCTCAGACTGACTGACAGCCCCCTGCCCTGGCCATGTTCCCCGCCCCAGACCCTTCCCACAGCACCTGCCTCACAGAGGCCTGCATTCGAGTGGCCGGGAAAATCCTGGAGACCCTGGACCGCGGGGTGAGCCCCTGTGAGGACTTTTACCAATTCTCCTGCGGAGGCTGGATCCGGAGGAACCCCCTGCCTGACGGGCGTTCTCGCTGGAACACGTTCAATAGCCTCTGGGACCAGAACCAAGCCATCCTGAAGCACCTGCTTGGTGAGTGCGCCTGTCAGGGGCTTGTGCCAAGTACCTGCTTCATGCCCAGCAAAAGGCTTGGCACTGAGTAGATACTTAATAAATGTCCACCAATGAAGAAATAACAGTGGCTGAAACCGGTTTGGCTCAGTGGATAGAGTGTTGGCCTGTGGATTGAAGGGTCCCAGGTTGGATTCCGGTCAAGGGCATATACCTTGGTTGCGGACACATCCCCAATAGGGGGTGTGCAAGAGGCAGCTGATCGATGGTTCTCTCTCCTTGATGTTTCTGGCAGTCTATCCCTCTCTCTTCCTCTCTGTAAAAAAATCAATAAAATATATATTTTAAAAAAAGAAAGAAAGAAAGAAAGAAATAACAGGGTGACTGGGAACACTCCTGGGGTAAGGGATGCAGAGAGCAGGGGACTCATGAAAAGTGGAGATGGGTTTCAGGGGGTGTGGTGGGGGGCATACCTCTAAGCACAATGGAGAGACTCCTCTCTGCATTCTGTCTGGGGGGCTGTTGAGGTGTGGTAGGCACTAGGGAGCTGTGGTGCTTAGAGATCTTGGGTGGTCTTCGTGGACAGGGGAGAGGAGCCACCCTTGGCCGTTCCACCCAGTCTTCCTGGGTTTGCATCAGGAGGGCTGCCCGTGGTTCAGACAGAAAGAGGGACCAGGTAAGGGCCCGGGAACCTGCTCAGCAGTCGGCATAGTTGCCACCCGGACCTTTATTCTCCTCCACAGAAAACGCCACCTTCAATTCCAGCAGCGAAGCCGAGCGGAAGACACAGCGCTTCTACCTGTCCTGCCTCCAGGTGGAGCGCATTGAGGAGCTGGGAGCCCAGCCGCTGCGGGACCTCATCGAAAAAGTACAGCCCCTGGGTGGGCTGTGGGCTGTGGGCTGTGGGCAGGGCGAGGACAGGACTTGGAAGAGGGTGTGGCCCCCTGGAAGCTTCGAGGACCTAAGTCATAGGTTCCATGATGGTCTCTACTCAGATTGGCGGTTGGAATATTACGGGGCCCTGGGACCAAGACAACTTCATGGAGGTGCTGAAGGCAGTAGCGGGGACCTACAGGGCCTCCCCCTTCTTCACCGTCTACATCAGTGCTGACTCTAAGAGTTCCAACAGCAATGTTATACAGGTACGGGGCTGGGGAAAGGCGGGGAAGGACGTATGAGCCATTTGCTGAGCCCAGACTCTCCTCCCCTCTGACCGGCAGCCTGGGGAGGCCCCCCTGCACAAGAGTCCAGGTTTAGGCGGGGTGGGCTTACTCCTTTACCTTGCTGTTGCAGGTGGACCAGTCTGGGCTCTTTCTCCCTTCTCGAGATTACTACCTAAACAGGACCGCCAATGAGAAAGTAAGGAGCATCCTCAGAATCCCCATCCCTACCCCCCTGTTGAGCTGGTCTGGTCTGTTTACTTGGCCCAGGGTCAGGGTGGAGAACTAAAATGAGCCTATCCTATCACCTAGTGAGTTGACTGCCCTTCCTTCCTTCTTTTCCCTTTATTCTTTCTTCCTTCTCTCCTCTTCTCTCCTTCCTCCCTTCTCCTCCTCCCTCTCCTCCTCTTCCCCCTCCCCCCCTCCTCCTTTTCCTTCTTCTTCTTCTTCCAGGAAAACATTTCATAGGCACCTACTGTGTGCCTGTGCAGGGGGGGAAATCTGAGATGTACCTTTCAGAGTTACAAGAAATTATCTGTGTGGATGGGATCATGGATCTAGATATCTGAGAATAAGACTCCAAGTGGGTTTTTGGGACTCAGAAGAGACTTGGGTAGCCAGAGAATGTTTCCTAATAAGATTACATTGGAGCCCCACCAGCGTGGCTTGGTGGTTGAGTATAAACCTTAGAACCAGGAGGTCATGGTTCCATTCCTGGTCGGTCAGGGCACATGCCCGGGTTGCGGGCTTGATTCCCAGTGGGAGATGTGCAGGAGGCAGCCAATCAGTGATTCTCTCCTATCGTTGATGTTTCTGTCTCTCCCTCTTTGAAATCAGTAAAAACATATATATTTTAAAAGAGATTTAAAAAAAAATTACATTTGAGCTAAGCTCTGTAGAATATCTAGGGGGGAGTGATAGTATGCTGGGTAAAGAGAACAGTATAAACAAAAGTGTTGAAGAAGGAAAGACTAAGGTGTACTTGGACCATGGGAAGGGGTCCAGTTTGGCAAATGAGAGCTCAAAGCAGATGAGAGGCTGGGAAGGTGGATAAGGTCTAGTTCCGGAAGGGACCTGCAATAGCACCCTGAGGAGTTTCTGTACAGGCCTCAGACCACTGCACGCTCCAGAGCAGGGAGAGAGTGGCCCAGTGAGCAGTGCTTTGGGAAGCCAGTTGGGCTGGGGTGTGAAAAGTACATGCAAAAGAGAAAGCTTGAAGATCAGTTAAGAGTCTCTTCAGTACTTCAGGCTCCGAGTCTGTAAGTTTCCAAATGGGGGAAGTGGCAGAGGGACTGTTAGGCAGGGAAGGATGCAGGGGACACAAGTCCCAATTGTGACTTGGTGACTGGATGTTAGAAGAGAGGAGTGGAAGGAGGAAGAGATGAAGTAAGTTAAGGCTACCAACCAGAATGATGGTGGAATGGCGGCGTCCTTAGAAAATCAAGGGTGCCTGTAGGAGAACCAGCTTAGGGCACTTTGGGTCAGAGGAAACAATGTGATGTCACAGGAAAAGGGCAGACTTTGAACCCAGACCTTGATTCCAGTCCCAGCTCTGCGGCTTGGTGCAGATTGACCTAGCTCATTTTACAGGTTCATCTGTAAAATGGGATCATAGCATCTACTTCATATGGTATTTTGGGGGGTGGGGGTATGCAAGCTTATGCTCCTGCATGTGACAGACAGACACTCAGGGAGTGGGAGCTGCTAATTTTAGATGTGAGAGTTTGAGGGACCTGGAGAGGTCAGCAGGCAGCTGTAAGAGCTGGGTGCATTCCTGGAGAGAGGATGAGGCTGGAGGGAGCTGTGGGCTTGAGGGACATCTCCTTAGAAACCTAGACAAAAGCTTTCAGAGAGAGGAGAGAAAGGAGGAGAATAGGGAAAGGAGAAAAGGAAAGCCTTTCTGAAGGGCAGTGGGAGAAAAAGAGCCAGAAGAGGAGGCTGCTATGGAGTAGGACAACCAGGAGAGTCATTTATCCTTTCATTCATTCTCAAACACTTACTGAGCATTCCTCAATCAGACCTCTTCTAGGCCTTTGGTGAACAAGACATCGCCACTGCCCTCCCAGTGGGGGAGAAGGCATGAAATAGCTCGGTACATCCTGTTTACAGTTGCTAAGACTGTTATAGAGAAGCATGGCATCCTGGGAGTGAGTGTCACAGGCAGCCAGCCTAGTCCTAGGGTCAGGGTAGACTGCAGGGAAGAGAGAGTGTTCTAGGCAAAGGGAATGGCTAGCTTATGTACAGGCTCTGAGGTGAGAAGGAACATGGCCCATTGACAAACTAGAGAGGGGAGCAGGAAGGGAGAGGGGTCCGAGTCTTTCTGGGCAGGTATAGACTCATATATTACATGGACATTGTGGGTCAAGTGTAGCATTTATCCCAAAAGAAATAGAAACTCAACGCCGAAATCGGTTTGGCTCAGCCGTGGAGCATTGGTCTGCGGACTGAAGGGTCCTGGGTTCGATTCCAGTCGGGGGCATATACATTGGTTGCGGGCACATCCCCGGTGGGGGGTCTGCAGGAGGCAGCTGGTCGATGTTTCTTTCTAGTCAACGTTTCTAACTCTCTATCCCTCTCTCCTCCTCTCTGTAAAAAATCAATAAAAAATATATTTAAAAAAAAATAGAAACTCAAGTGAAGGGAGTGGTGTGAACAGATGTGTGGTTTTGACATCATCGGAGTCACTGATGATGTCAAAAGGAGGAGGAGAGAATTTGGAGAATGCAGGCGAGAACCACGTGGTCCAAGACTTGGGAAAAGTCAGGAGAAAGGCTCTTATTGTGTGGCCAGTAGTCATGGATAAGAAGTCTATGCCAGCATCTCAGGGAAGCTGCAGTGCCAAAGGCTCACAGAGGATAAAAACGTAGCAGTAAAGCAAGGTTCGGTGAGGTATCAAAAGTCAGTCTCGCCGAAATCGGTTTGGCTCAGTGGATAGAGTGTCGGCCTGTGGATTCAAGAGTCCCAGGTTCGATTCCGGTCAAGGGCATGTACCTTGGTTGGGGGCACATCCCCAGTAGGGGGTGTGCAAGAGGCAGCTGATCGATGCTTCTCTCTCATTGATGTTTCCAACTCTCAATCCCTCTTCCTTCCTCTCTGTAAAAAATCAATAAAATATATATATTTTTAAATATATATTCAGTCTCAAGCTGAAGGTAAGGAGGTAGAGAGAGGAAGGGGTAAGGCAGTGGGCAGGATAGAGGTCAAGATCACTGGTGGAACTGACTTTCCCCCTTAGGAGCTGGAAAGACTGAAATTGGTACTCACACCTCTTCCTTTGACACCAGCAGTGAGGAAAAGGAGAGGTGGGGAACATGAGGAAATCTGGAGTTCAGAGGAAGGGATTCTAAAACTTTTCAGTAGAGAGGAAAAGAAGATGGCCTTTGGTGATTGAGGGAGCTCCGGGTGAGAGTGGGGCGTGGCCCCTGGGGGAGGACCACACAGGGCGTCCGTGCTAAACAGCACTGAGGGGCAGCAGGAGAAATGGTAAGCAGGGGTGGCGGCCAGAACAGACTCCCTCAGCCGTGGGCGGGACTTGCTGCTGGGCTGTCAGGATGACTGGGGTTTTGACAGGTGCTCACCGCCTACCTGGACTACATGGAAGAGCTGGGGCTGCTGCTGGGCGGACAGCCAGCCTCCACCCGGGAGCAGATGCGGCAGGTGCTGGAGCTGGAGATACAGCTGGCCAACATCACGGTGCCCCAGGACCAGCGCCGGGACGAGGAGAAGATCTATCGCAAGATGAGCATCGCCGAGCTGCAGGTGGGGCCAGTGGGGAACGGGGACAGCCGGGAGGCGCCGGCCCCGGGCGCAGACCACTCAGCTCCTCTTCGGCCGTCTTCCGGAGGCAGCCAATCCTTCGTTCATTTCCTTGCTTTTCTGAGCTTCCCAGCTGCATGGTGGCTATCCTGGAAAGAACTATGTGGTGACCATTTTAGGCCATCTTCCACGGGGCCATCCCTTGGTCCCTGACATGTGGCCGGGGCATGTGTAGAGAGATCACGTTAAAAACCTGTAACAACTGTACAAGACATCCACGAGACAATCAGAGAGTAGGCGGAAGCATCTCCTAGAGGGCCCTCCCTGTGCCAGGCGTCAGCCCTTCGGTTGTTGGATTATGGAAAAGTTGGGTAAGGGGGTCCTGGAGGAGAGGCCATCTATGTAGGGATGCTGGGTGGTATCAGAGGAGTGATGTGTTTTCCATCGTTATGAAAATCTGTGCCCTAGCTAAATGTCACACGTGGTGGTTTTCCTTGTGTAAGTGACTGGGCTCCGAGATTGAGGGGCACTCAGGCCTGGAAAAGGGTTTCTTTCCTTTTCTTTTTTCTTTTTTTAATAAGTGATATCTTCTTTTTTTAAAAGATATATTTTATTGATTTTTTACAAATCAATAAAGGAAGGGAGAAGGATGGAGAGCTAGATACATTGATGAGAGAGAAACATCGACCAGCTGCCTCCTGCACACACCCCCCACCGGGGATGTGCCCGCAACCAATGTACGTGCCCTTGACCGGAATCGAATCTGGGACCTTTCAGTCCACAGACCGATGCTCTATCCATTGAGCCAAACCGGTTTCGGCTGGAAAAGGGTTTCTTTCTTTCTTTCTTTTTTTTAAAAAAATATATTTCATTGATTTTTTTTTTTTTTTTTTTTTTTTTTTTTTTTTTTTTACAGAGAGGAAGGGAGAGGGATAGAGAGTTAGAAACATCGATGAGAAAGAAACATCGACCAGCTGCCTCCTGCACACTCCCTACTGGGGATGTGCCCACAACCAACGTACATGCCCTTGACCAGAATCGAACCTGGGACCTTTCAGTCCGCAGGCTGACGCTCACTGAGCCAAACCGGTTTCGGCTGGAAAAGGGTTTCTGAAAGGAAGGGGCCACAAAGCAATGAATAGCACTTTGGTAATGGGAAGGACTTCCAGGCTCCAACATATCAACGGTGAAGGGTCTGCTGAGAGCCAGGTGAGCAAGCAGGGAGGCTTTGAGATATATTTTGCTCCCAGGTCCTGGCGCCCTCCCTGGACTGGCTGGAGTACCTGTCTTTCTTGCTGTCACCGCTGGAGCTGAGTGACTCTGAGCCTGTGGTGGTGTATGGGACGGATTATTTGCATCAGGTGTCAGAGCTCATCAACCGCACGGAGCCAAGGTATGAAGGATGAGGCTCAGGGCTCCGTGCAGGTTCCAGGCAGGAACTGAGCATAGGGAACTGGCATGCCAGGCACAGAAGGATTTGACAAGGCCATGGACATTCCAACCAGCAAAAAAAAATGTCTCGATATACTCCCCTAGGGCAGGGCTTCGGGGGTCTGCATGTGATCTGTATCCCTGCTCCAGCCCGACTTCTGCAGGCAGGTGTGTGGTCCCGGAGTGAGAGAGATTCTGGGACAGCTCCCATGTACGCCTCTCAGGACTCCAGCTGCCTGCACATTTGTGGAGCTGGTTTGGGGTAGAAATGGTAACCCACCTGCCTTTTCCTTACGTTCTGTCCCGGACGCCAGCACCCTGAACAATTACCTGATCTGGAACCTGGTGCAGAAGACAAGCTCGAGCCTGGACCGACGCTTTGAGGCTGCACAAGAGAAGCTGCTGCAGACCCTCTATGGCACCAAAAAGGTGAGCGCGTGCGCTCGCGCGCTCTCTCTCTCTCTCTCTCTCTCTCTGTCTCTCTCCCTCTCTCTCTTTTTGCTCCTGTCACACTTATCCTGTCAGGCACCAGTTGCCTCGTGGTGTATTATGGAGCACAGGATTAGGAATCAAGCTGGCTTGGGTTACAGCCCCAACTCCTCCATTTTTTTAGCCCATGGACCTTGGTCATGTCCCGTAGCCTCTCTGAATCCCCATTTCCGGGTCTGTAAAACGAGTATGTGCAGGAAGAATGTACGCAGCTCTTAGTTTCTCGGTGCCCTGTTCAGTGGTGGAAATGGACGTGTACAATTATTTAGGGCTGGTAAGAGCTCACATGGAATGGAAGACCTTCTTCATGCTATAGGACAGAGGTGGGGGCAGCACATTATACCTGGGGGGACAGGAGGCATCAGGAAAGGCTACTCCGAAGAGGTGAGATTTGAAGAATGAGTTCTCCAAGAAAACAAGGAGAAAGGTAGTCTAGGCAGAAGGAACAGGATGTGCAAATTCCCAGAGGCCAGAGGGAGCTTGGTGGGTTCGCATGTGTTCTGGTGTGAGCTTGAGAACAAGGCGGCCGAGGCTGAGGGTGGGGAGATGGGCCTGGGGCAATCCTTGATGGGACCCGAAGGTTGTGTTAAGAAGTCTGGCATTGATTTTTTCCCCCCAGGGATAGTTTTAAGGAGAAAGTAACCCAGTTAGATTTATGCATTAGATCAGCTTTCTTGGCAGCCAAATGGAAGATGGAGGGGAGTGGCCGATGAGAGGGGAGGAGAATGGAATTAGAGTTTCCAGTTAGGAGAACACCGCAATCTTCAAGCAAGAGGTGATAGTATTGTAGTGCAGGGAAGTGGCAAAAGGCTGGTCGGGAGAGATGATTATGAAGCAGCTGGTAGAAACTGGTGATACATTGAATGTGGGGTAAGGAGAGGGAGGAAGCTGGTGGCTTCCAGGTTTCTGGCAGGGGGGACTGAGATGTGGAGCTGAGCAAAGAAACCTCTGCACCTCAACAGGCCTCTTGGGAATTTAAGAGGAGAGTGCCAGGAACAGAATGGGCAGCACGCATGTTTCTCCCCGGCTTTCTCTGCCGGGGCTGGCACATCTTGGGCTAGTGCTCCCCATTGTCCATGGAGTCCAAAGAGAGGTGGCACCCAAACCCAGGCCTCTATGGGCCAGGACTAAGAGAGGGTGACCCAGAGACAGCTTGGAGGACAGAGCCATCTCTGGGGGGCCTGGCCCTTTGTCCCTTTCAGTCCTGCATACCAAGGTGGCAGACCTGCATCTCCAGCACGGACGATGCCCTTGGCTTCGCGTTGGGCTCCCTCTTTGTGAAGGCCTCATTTGACCGGCAAAGCAAGGAATTCGTGAGTCTTCAAGTTTCTTCCAACTCCACCCCTTGTTTTAATTAAAACTCACTGTTCATGTTTGTGAGTACCTATAGGAAAAAAATGGAAGGAAATTCATGAACAAATTAACAGTGATTACTTTGGGTATGGGATTATGACAGGTTCCTTTTGTCCTTGAAAGTTCTCTGCATTTCCCAAATTTCCTATAATGAGTTTGTTACCTGTTTAATAAGAAAAAAAATTTATTTACTTATTTTTTCTCACCTGAGGATATGCTTTTCATTGATTTGAGAGAGGAAGGGAGAGGGAGCGAGAGAAACATCAATGTGAGAGAGAAACATCAATCAATTGCCTCATGTAGGCATCCCAACTGCGGATCGAACCTTCAACCTGGGTGTGCCCTGACCTTTCTGTTCACAGGATGAGAGTCTAACCACTGAACCACTGGCCAGAGCTTTATTTATCTTTTATTAAGAGATGATAATGAATGTGCTGGAAATATCTACAAGGATGTTTATGGCAGTGTTGTTTATAATAAAAGAGAATGAAAACGGCTTTAATGTCTAATCATAGGAGAATGGAAAAATAAACTGTGGTTAGGATGGATTACGAGGTTGCTTTAAAATTGATGATATATTTTTAAGTGAAAAAGAAGTTGAGATATATATATTTCCATTATATATATGGAAAGATACTATAAGTAGATAATCAAATGTTAAATGAAGTTGCCTCTGAGTGAGGGATTATAAGTGATCTATTTTCTTCTTCAATTCCTCTCCGTTTTCTTTTTTTTTTTTTTCTCTCTCTTCTCCGTTTTCTAAATTTTCTGCTACCGCCGAAACCGGTTTGGCTCAGTGGTAGAGCCTTGGTCTGCGGAATGGGAGGTCCCGGGTTCAATTTCGGTCAGGGGCATGCACCTTGGTTTCGGGCACATCCCCAGTCGGGGGGGGGGGTGCAAGAGGCGGCTGATCGATGATTCTCTCTCATCGATGTTTCTAACTCTCTATTCCTCTCTCTTCCTCTCTGTAAAAAATCAATAAAATATATATATTTTTAAAAAATAATAAATTTTCTGCTACCAATGCTTTCCCTTTGTAATCAGATAAAAATCAACGCGCCATATTAAATTTAATAAAAATTAAATTTCCAGTTAAAATTTTTGATTAATTTGAACAAAGCCACCCACAATCCCAGTACCTTCACAAATGTTTCCTTCTCATCCTCCCCAGATGCTCAGCCTTAGTTCAGGAATTTGGGCACTCCCACACCTTCCCAGGGAAGGACAGAGATGGGACACCAGGTGGACGGGGGGGAGAAAGGATTCATTACTGCGAGTGGGAGGCAGCCTCGTGTCCCTTCCCTCCCAGGCGGAGGGGATGATTAGCGAGATCCGAGACGCCTTTGAGGAGGCCCTGGGACAGCTGGTTTGGATGGATGAGAAGACCCGCCAGGCAGCCAAAGAGAAAGTAAGCTGTGGCCGGGGTTGGGGCGCCACCTTGAGGTGGGGATGGAGGAGACAGTTTTATGGGAGCCTGGGGAAGGAAACCCGTAACTTGGACTCTTCAGGCAGATGCCATCTACGATATGATCGGCTTCCCCGACTTCATTCTGGAGCCTAAAGAGCTGGATGATGTGTATGATGGGGTGAGTACCTCTGCCCATCAGTTTTGAACTTCAGCCCCATGGGGGGCACTGTTCCCTGGGCTCGATAATAGAAGCTCAAGCACTAAGAGGGAGGAGGAACTTGTTAGCTCCTTTCAGAAGCAATGCAGGCAACCTACATTGCTCAAGTGCTGGCTCTGTGCTGGGCTGCAGGCTCCACATTAGTAGAATGCAGTGTTAACCGGCAGGGATTTGCAGTCAATTCTGACTCAAATCCTGTTTCTACCTCTATCTGTTTAACCTTGGACAAGTTGTATAACCTCTCTGAGCCTCAGTTTCTTCATCTGTAAAATGGGGTCCTATAAGTACCTACTTCATAGGGTTCTTATGTAAAAAAAAAAAAGCACCATTCATAAGTGATTTTCAAATATTGGTATTTATTACTTTTACTAGATTTTAAAAAAATATATTTTATTTTATTTTATTTTTAAAATATATTTTCTTGATATTTCACAGAGTGGAAGAGAGAGGGATAGTTAGAAACGTTGATGAGAGAGAATCATCGACCAGCTGCCTCCTGCACACCCCCCACCAGGGATGTGCCTGCAACCAAGGTACATGCCCTTGACCGGAATTGAACCCGAGACCTTTCAGTCCGCAGGCCGACGCTCTATCCACTGAGCCAAACCGGTGCCGGCAAAAAATATATTTTATTGACTTTTTACAGAGAGGAAGAGAGAGGGATAGAGAGTCAGAAACATCAATGAGAGAATTATCGATCAGCCACCTCCTGCACACCCCCTACTGAGGTACATGCTGCCCTAGACCGGAATCGAACCCAGGACCTTTCAGTCCGCAGGCCGACGCTCTGTCCACTGAGCCAAACCGGTCTCGGCATACTTTTACTAGATATTTTATGGTTGGAGAAACTGAGGCTCAGAGAGGTGCTAATTAGTAGCCAAGCTGGAACTTTTACCTTCAACATGTTCTCTTGCTTGCTTTCTCCTTCTCACCATTCCCATAGTATGAAGTCTCTGAAGATTCCTTCTTCCAGAACATGTTGAATTTGTATAACTTCACTGCCAAAGTGATGGCTGACCAGCTCCGAAAGCCTCCCGCCCGGGAACAGTGAGAACGGAGGGCTGTAGGCAGTTGGGGCAGCAAGAGAAGCGGGGGGGGGGGGGGGGGGGGGGGCGGCGGTGTCCAGGGCTTGGGGGGATGGGCAAGACTGGTCCAAACCAAGACACAAGGTCCTTGCTGCAGGTAGGTCAAGGCTGCTGGGCTGGGAGGAGCATCGGGGCGTCAGGAGACTAAGCCTCTCCCTCTCCTTCCCTCTCTCCCAGGTGGAGCATGACCCCCCAGACAGTGAATGCCTACTACCTTCCAACCAAGAATGAAATTGTCTTCCCTGCTGGCATCCTGCAGGCCCCCTTCTACGCCCGCAACCACCCCAAGTGTGTGTGAGGCGGGAGGGGCTGGGGGTTGGGGCCTGGGCCTGTGGGTGGGCTGGGAGCGGGGCTGGAGGTGGGATCCAGAAATCCCCTTCCCCTGTCTTCACTCAGCATTCCTCACCCACCAGGGCCCTGAACTTCGGTGGCATTGGTGTGGTGATGGGCCACGAGTTGACGCACGCCTTTGATGACCAAGGTAGAGGCCCGTGGGATTGTTCCCTTTGGCCTAGAATTCCCAGAGGCTCCTGCAAGACCTTGAGATGTTGGGAGCAGGTGGAGCAGAGGGAAGCTCCTGACCCCAAGGGCTGAGCTGGGGTCTCAGCGGAGGGCAAAGGTTCCTTCTCCCTCCTCAGGGCGTGAGTATGACAAGGAAGGGAACCTGCGGCCGTGGTGGCAGAATGAGTCACTGGCAGCCTTCCAGAACCACACGGCCTGCATGGAGGAGCAGTACAGCCAGTACCGCGTCAACGGTGAGAAGCTCAACGGCCGCCAGACGCTGGGGGAGAACATTGCTGACAACGGAGGGCTTAAGGCTGCCTACAATGTGAGTGCCTGGCCAGCCCTCCGGGGGCTGAGGCCCACCTTGGGGCGGAAGAGAGCCGGGTGGAGGCGATGGGAAGGCCCTGGTGGAACTTACCGCTCCTGTGCCCAACCCCAGGCCTACAAGGCATGGCTGAGAAGGCATGGGGAGGAGAAGCAGCTGCCAGCCGTGGGACTCACCAACCACCAGCTCTTCTTTGTGGGATTTGCCCAGGTATTGCTCTCCTGGGAGGTCTGGGGTCTGCCGCTCTTCCCATTTCTTCCTGGGTGTGTCTTTGGAAGTCTAGGGCATGTGGGAATTGGGGCCAAAGTTGGGGGGGGGGTGGAAGGTGGTCTGGGGAGGCCTCTTGGCTGGGGCGCACCAAAGCCTGAGAGGAAGCCCGAGGAGAGAGGATCCTTCAGGAGGCATCTGCAGACCTCAAAGGGCAGGGCTGGCCTGCTTGAGGGGGAGGGGTGGGCAGCAGCACTGATCCTCACCATGAACCGTGAGGTGGCAGTGGCGGAGGAAACTTAAGCTCGGGGACAGAGTGGCTCATCCGGGGCTACCCGGGAAGAAAGCAAGCGGCAGAGTGTGACTCAGGCAGGGTCTCCTCTAGGCACTTTGCACTGCAGCAGGCAGCCGCTAGGGGGTGGGCTTCTTCCCCTCAGTTGCAGCAACCCCATTTCCAGGACAGCTTTGAAGGGCCTTCAAGGAATTTTGGGGAGAGGGTGCAGTCTCTTCCCTTACTGCGGATAGCCAGGGAGTGGAGCTAATGCTGGCTAACCCCCCCCCCCCCCCACCTCCTGCCTGTGTCCCTGAGGCCTCCTGAGCTGAGGGGCAGTGCAGTGGTGGTTTGTGTCCCTGGATGGCTCGGCTGCAGCCCCGTCTGTGACCTTGCCCACATTAGACACCGTATGTCCCCGTGTCTGTCCTGGCCCGCAGGTGTGGTGCTCGGTCCGCACACCCGAGAGCTCTCACGAGGGGCTGGTGACCGACCCCCACAGCCCTGCCCGCTTCCGTGTGCTGGGCACTCTCTCCAACTCCCGTGACTTCCTGCGGCACTTCGGCTGCCCTGTCGGCTCCCCCATGAACCCGGGGCAGCTGTGTGAAGTGTGGTAGATAGACCTGGGTCCCGGGGGGAATGGCCAGCTGTTGCTAGGGCCTGGCGCAGCTCGCCCGGCAAGGCTGTTTGCTCTGGAGTTTGGAGAAGGCAAATGCCAGCTAGACTCGGTCTAGCCCCTCCACACACCACAGGTGACACGAGTCCCAGTCCCTGCTCAACCACCACATTGTGCCTCTGCTTTGGGGGTGCCCCTGCCTCCAGCAGAGCCCCCACCACTCACTGTGACATCCTTCCGTGTCACCTTGCCTGAAGGAGGCCTGGGTGGGGGTGCGGGGCACCAGCTCCCCCAGGAAGGAGTCGGCTTTTCTAGCCCGGAGCTCGCTCGCTTGATGGCCATGGGGCCTGCCGTGCCTGCCGCACTCTGACAACGCGGGGCCTGGGTGGTGTGCCTTCCACGCTTCTTCTGGAGGCTCACACGATGCTCATGTGGGAGTGGAATTAGCGCCTTTAGCACCCCCTCAGGGGCCGCCCTCCACCTCATGCTTCTCATACTGCTGCTTCCACACTGCTGCCAACCCTCACTGACAGACCAATTGCACTCGGTTCCTAGTGGGAGCCTGAGGGCCTCTGTAGGCTCCCCGCTGCCTCCCGGTTTCCGGGGCTCAGGGTGGGAGTGTGTATGTGCAGGGGATGCTAATTCCTGTGTATGGCGGCACAGCTCTTAGGGGAAGGCTGAGTCTTCCCGGACCGAGCCAGAAAGCAGACAGAACAGGGAGAGGAAAGGACAGAGTTTATTTTTGCAGAAAAGAGGGTGGGGAGGGTGTGGTCTTGGCCCTGTAGGACCCTGTGCCAATAAACAGACATGCATCAGTCAGCCCGTCTCTTCCTTTGGTCCTGTTTTCACTTATTCACTTACTCATTCCACCAATGTTTACTGAACACCTACTATGTGCCAGGCACTCTTGTGGACATTCAAAAACTCACGCAGCAAAACAGGGGAATTGCCGAAACCGGTTTGGCTCAGTGGTTAGAGCATCGGTCTGCAGACTGAAAGGTCCCCACATTTGATTCTGGTCAAGGGCATGTACCTTGGTTGCGGGCACATCCCCAGTAGGAGGTGTGCAGGAGGCAGCTGGTCGATGTCTCTCTCTCATCGATGTTTCTAGCTCTCTATGCCTCTCCCTTCCTCTCTGTAAGAAAATCAATAAAATTAAATTAAAAAAAGAGAAACAGGGGAATGACATTTGAAACCCCAAGAAGATAGAGAAAGAGAGGTAGGATGGAAGAATGGAATGAAGCTAAATCTGAGTGGGCAGAATACATCCTCTGCTCAAAGGTTTTGCCACTGTCCTCCCCTGGTGTGTGCAGCTGGGCCCGACACTGAGTTCAGGGTAACTACGGTGCCAGGGTCATGCTAGGGTCAGCTTGAAAAGTGGGTGGCAATCACCCTGCAGTGAGGGAAGCCCTGGCTAAGGTAGCATGCCATTCCCTGGAGCTCGGAGTACCAGCCGCTGCTTGCAGCTGAAAAAGGCATGCATTTCCCTATTACCTCGAAGGCTCAGTGCTCCTGAGAGTCACTCATCCCACCTACATACACTCATCAGGGCCTCGCAAGTGCCAGGCACAGAGATGGCAAATACAGCCGTCGCCCTCCAGAGTAAGGGAAGGGAAAAAGCATTTATTGAAAACCTCTTGCATTCTAGGCACCTCTCATTCAGTCATTTATTAATTTATACATTCACAGGTGTATTTTATTTTTATTTTTTAAATATATTTTATTGATTTTTTTACAGAGAGGAGGAAAGAGAGAGAGAGAGAGAGCTAGAAATGTCGATGAGAAAGAAACATCGACCAGCTGCCTCTTGCACACCCCCTACCGGGGATGTGCCCGAAACCAAGGTACATGCCCTTGACCGGAATCGAACCTGGGACCTTTCAGTCCGCAGACCGACGCTCTACCACTGAGCCAAACTGGTTTCGGCATCACAGGTGTATTTTAAAAATGTATCAATTACCAACAATGTTCCAGTCCCTGGGGATGCAGAGATGAATAAGATGGTTCCTTCTCTCAAGCTACTCTTCTCTTGGCACTTTCACCTTCATGAGCTCATCTAATCCTCAATGCAACGTTTTGTTGTTGATATTGATTTTCACCTGAGGATATGTTTCCATGGATTTTTAGAGAGAGCAGAAAGGATGGGGAGAGACAGAGAGAGAAATATAGATGTGAGAGAGACACATCGATTGCCTTCTGCATGCTCCAACCAGGGCTGGGGATGAAGCCTGCAACCAAGGTATGTGCTCTTGACCGGGGACCTGTCAATCTGAGGACCGACGCTCTACCCACTGAGCCAAGTTAGCCAGGGTGCAACCTATTTTATAAGTCCTCCAGTTTCCATTTTACAGATATATCCCTAACCACTCACCAAATTCAAAGAGACCTAATTGAAATCAGCTTTAATAGCTGAATGAACTTGAGCCTGTTCCTTAACCTCTATGAGCCTCAGTTTCTTTATCTGTAAAAGGAGAACTACAGCAAAACTGTGGAAAGAGTCCAGTCTCAATTCTCTTTAAAATTCAGTGTTCTGCCCTGGCTAGCGTTGCTCCGTTGGTTTGAGCATTCTGGCAACGCCAAAAGGTTGCAGGTTTAGTTCCTGGTCAGGGCACATACCCAGGTTGCAGGTTCAATCCCTGTTGGGGGGTGAATGCAAGATTCTCACATTGATATTTCTCTCCCTCTCTTTCTCTCTCAATAAAAGCATGTCCTCAGGTAAGAATTAAAAATATATAATTAAAATTCAGTGTTCCCCAAGATGAGGGTAGGTTTGGCTGTTTGGAAGGTTAAGAGTGAAATTTTGCCAGGGATTGGTGCTGGGGTTCCTGGGCGATGGCATCAGCACGTGTCCCACAGTTTGTCTCCTGACCCAGCACCAGTCTCTCCATAAAGAGCTATATTTGGGTCCCTGTCAAGTTACCTGGAAGTGCTGGCTGCTCACCAAGGGAAGGAAATAGCTGGCTACTCAGAAAAGAGCAAAGAGGCTTTGGGAACTTTAAGACCAAGGGAAGGCATAGCTTGAGCCACTGCGAGCATGACTCTAGGAGGGACGGCTACATGTACCTGGTTCTGGCTCCAGCTCTGTCACCCACTAAATGTGTGACACTAGGCATGGCTCATCTCTTCAGGGCTCAGTATCCTTAGAAGTCTGTAAAATAAGTAGTGATTTGGATGAGATGATGTCTGAGGACCTGTTCAGCTTTAATGTTTTAAAAAGAAATTCACAGCCCTAGCCAGTTTGGCTCATTGGACAGAGCGGCAGCCCATGGACAGAAAAGTCCCAGGTTTGTTTCCAGTCAAGGCACGTACTTCCATTGCAGGCTTGATACCCGGCACGTACCAGGAGGCAATCAATTGATGTGTCTCTCTCACATGGATGTTTCCCTCTCTGTCTCTCCCCCTCCCTCCCACTCTCTATCTAAAAAAAAAAAAAAAAAAAAAAAAAAGTCAATGGAAAAATATCCTTGGGTGAGGATTTACAACAAAAACAACAATAACAAAAAAAGGAATTCATGGGCTTAGCAAATTCCAGAACCCAAAGAAATACTAAGAAATGGTTTGTGAAGTTTGGGTGTTGCATAGAGGATGAGATTTGTATGTCAGAGAGCATATTGAGTAAGGAGAGAGGCTTGGCAGCATAAAGCCTTGCCTTGACCTCTGATTTCAGAAGCCAACCTAGAATACTGACCAGCTGGCCTCCATGACATAGAAATTCCATCTGCAAAAAGGTAAAAATGTCTAATAATAAGTAGCAGCTTTCATTTACTAAGTCCCTACTTTGTCTAAGCCTGTATGAAACACTTTAAAAACACCATCTCATGAATTTCCCACAATAATTTATAAGGTGGTTTTATCATCTCTGTTTTACAAGGAAGAAACTAAGAGAAAAAATTATATAACTTCTGCCTGGCTGGTGTGGCTCAATGGTTAAGCAATCAATCTATAAATCAGGAGATCTCGGTTCGATTCCTTGTCAGGGCACATGCCCGGGTTGCGGGCTCAATCCCCAGTAGGAGGTTTGCAAGAGGCAGCTGATCAATGATTCTCTCTCATCATTGAGGTTTCTATCTCGCTCTCTCCTTTCCTCTCTGAAATCAATAAAAAAAAATATTTTTTTAAAGATTACATAACAGGAGTGGGGGGTGAGGGAAGAGACTGAACATAAACTGTGCACCTATGGATGAGGACAATGGGGGGTGGGGAAGGGGCAGAGGGTGGGGGTAGGAACCTGGTGGAGGGGGAAAAAATGAGGAACTTTTGTTAATAATATGAACAATAAAGGTTTATTAATAAAAAAAAGATTACATAACTTCTAATTTCAGATTAGTCAGGCTGCATTAAAATAATATTTGGAACTCAAATGCTGTTAATCATTACCATTTAGACTTCTAAGTCATAGACTCAAGCACAGACAACTGTTCTCCAGGCAATTTCATCATACTTCTATGTGAGACCATCACCAGCAGGTACATTTCCACGCTCCCCAGCTCCCTTGGGCCAGGCACATGTGTCAACTAGGCAGCTGCAGGAAACTTAGGCACATGTTGATCTGAAACTAAGCCAGGAAGCACATGTTTGCTGAGCACTCTGCAGGTGCTTGGTTCCAGAGGCAAGGCCAGGTGGACAGGCGACAACCTTCACCCTTAGCAGCCCCGCCATGTTGACATGCATCTGGGATATGCTCTGGTGTGTTAAGGCAGAAAGGGGATGAAAGGATGGTGCTCCTGAGTGGACACATGAGAGCAATTATTGGTAAGAGCTGGACCATAACCTACACTTTCCCATTAGGAAGTATGATTAGTTCTCATGCACAACTAGGTAACATGTCAAATAATATGATTATACACTTGGAAGCATGCTGGAAATGTCAGGTTGGAGAAGAGTCCCTTATAAAATAAGCACAGTTTCAGCCCTGGACATTGTTTCTCAGTGGTAGATCATTGGCCCACACACCAAAGGGTTGTGGGTTCGATTCCCAGTCAATGGCATGTACCTGGGTTG